CATCCAAGGTCTTACCTGAAATTCTTAAATTCAGACCTGATATTGTACAATTTTTCAAATTTGGAAGTTGTTAAAATCCTTAAATCTCTTAAAATTCATCTAAATTATATTTTACATCTTAGTTTCACACTATAAAACCATAAATATCATCAAAGAGGAACAGATGTAAAAAACAAAGGAGTCGTCCAAGGTCATACCTGAAATTCGAGAATTCAGACCTGATATTGAACAATTCTTCAAATTTTGGACTCATTGCAATCCCTAAACACTCTTCAAAACCATCTAAAGCATTTTTTACATCTTAGTTCCACACTACAAAACAATACATATCATCAAAGAGTGACAGATGTAAAAACATAAGAGCCATCCAAGGTCATACCTGAAATTCATAAATTCAGACCTGATATTGTACAATTCTTCAAATTTTGGACTCATTTAAAATCCTTAAACTTTCTTCAAATCCATCTTAATTATTTTTTACTAATTAGTTTCACACTACAAAACCATACATATCATCAAAGAGCGATGAATGTAAAAAATATAAGGCTCATCCAAGGTCTTACCTGAAATTCGTAAATTCAGACCTGATATTGTACAATTCTTCAAATTTTGAACTTGTTAAAATTCTTAAACCTTCTTTAAACCCATCTAAATTATTTTGTACATCTTAGTTCCATACTACAAAGCCATAAATATCATCAAAGGGGGACAGATGTAAAAAATCTAAGGCTCATCCAAGGTCTTCCGTAAAATTTGTAAATTCAGACCTGATATTGTACAATTCTTGGAATTTTGAACTTGTTTAAAACATGAAACTTCCTTAAAACCCATTTTAATTATTTTTTACATCTTAGTTCCATACTTCAAAACCATATTTATCATCAAAGAGGGGTAGATCTGGAAACCATAGGCATCAGCTATAGTCATACACAAAATCAACCCTCTCAAAAATGTCAAATTTTTCAAAAAATCAACAATTTTTTTCTTGGCTCCTACTATTTCAATTAGTTTGAACCTTTCAGGGCTTATAGCCCTGCTACTGGGCACTTCACATGACATTTTTCAATGTCATCCAGTGTCTGATTGAAAAGTGAGTCTCTAAATAGTAAGAAAATGGGTCACGAATTTGCCCCCTGTAGTACATACTTTGTAGTATTTTCCAAATTCTGTAGGAGTGATTGGCATTATTTATTTTGCAAATGATTCATATATATAATGTCTATGTATGTAACTTACAAACATCAAGATATCTAAAATTATTGAGAATGAAAAAATTATTTTCCGGGGGTGGGGTGTTTTTGGGGGGTGGGGGGCTAACCCCTGAAAAAAAAGAATTATGTACCACTCTGTGAAGCTATCACCTAGGTAGAATTTTCATCCAAGACTTCCCTCTAACTGAAAATGCTGCCAAACCAACTATACTCCATTTATTAAGAATTTTCCTCCTCGCTCTTAGAGTAATACTGGTGAAAAGAATTTCAAATGTGATGTCTGTTCTAAACCTTTTGTGCAAAAGTCAAACCTAAATTCACATTATAAAATCCATACTGGAGAGAAGAACTTCAAATGTGACGTTTGTTGCAAAGCATTTACACGAAAGTCAAATCTAAAGTCCCATTATAAAATCCATACTGGAGAAAAGAACTTCAAATGTGATGTTTGTTGCAAAGCATTTACACGAAAGTCAAATCTAAAGTCCCATTATAAAATCCATACTGGAGAAAAGAACTTCAAATGTGATGTTTGTTCTAAAACATTTGCACGAAAGTATGATCTTAAAAAACACTTAAAAATTCATACTAGAGAAAGGAATTTCAAATGTGATGTTTGTTCAAAAACATTTATACATCATTTTTCTCTTACCTTACATTATAGAATCCATACTGGAGAAAAGAACTTCACATGTGACGTTTGTTCCAAATCATTTATACAAAAGTCTTCTCTTAATGACCATTGTAAAATTCATACTGGAGAAAAGAAGTTCAAATGTGATGTTTGTTCCAAAACATTTGCACGAAAGTTTCAACTTACAAAACACTTTGTAATTCACACTGGAGAAAAGAACTTCAAATAAGATGTTTGGTCGAAAACATTTATGCAAAACGTTTATCATGACAGACATTAGAATTCACACTGGAGAAAAGAACTTTAAATGTAATGTTTGTTCTGAAACATTTCCACAATAGTCACAGCTCAACTCAGATTACAGAGTTCATACTGGGGAAAGGAGCTTTAGGTATGACGGGTGTCGTAGCCTGTATAGTGTAGTTTGGCATGAAAAATGAAATAAAATTACTTTGAAACTGAAACAAATGTTTGTTCTGAATTATATCATTTCACTAGAGGCCCGTCTTCATACCAATCATAATATATTTATTCATTTATTATATTATATACTAAAGACAATATTTGAATTTGACATTAAAATATAATTTACATTTTCAAAATGACAAATGACATTCGCATCAATCCGTTCTTTTCCACTCAAAATGTTGAATCTCAAAAAGACACATTCATATACTAAATGAGCTTTTAATTGTGAAAATTGGCTCATTATGCATATAGGCTAGGTGTTTGTTGTGGTGTATGATTCTAGATTGATTCAGACAATATTGGTGTGTAGTTTTTCAGCGTTTTTTTTTAAAACACGTATTAAGCTTTATAATTATACCCTCTTGAATAATTTTTGAGGGGTACCATGACAGCGATGTATAATTTCTAGAATATCTATTCAATGAACTAATATTTACTGGTTGCGATGATAAAGGCGATTGTTTGTAAAAATGTATATATTTCACCAAAAATAATCAGTTAAACCAAGGCGAGAAAGCCAGTGTTTTCCTTAAGACAAGGAGGAAATATTATATTGTATTGTATTGTATTGTATTGTATTGTATTGTATTGTATTTATTGTATTGTATTGTATGTTATTAACAAATAAAAATTAAATGCATTAAAATCAGTTCAATTGTTTTAAACAATAGCCAAGATGTTAATACTAAAGGGAAATAAAAATCGGTGTAACAGCAAAGGAAATATCGGTAACTATGGTGAAATATGTACACTGGAGCATTGGAAATTATTTAGAATTCAGGATGGAATTGGAAATGATTTTTTCGTATTTCACATTCATAAATCCGTTGATCTTGAAAGCCAATGTTTTATTTTCAATGTAAACGTGATAGGTTGATGTAAAGTAAATTGTACTTGTACTCACAATATATCTGTGCTAATATACGATACAATTTATTATTTTGTCACGTTTGTTATCGGCAGTAATCTAGTATTTTCCTGATTTAGTAGCCATAACGTTGTTTATTTATTCGCAGAGCCATGTTCAGTAAAATACAATTTTTGTGCACCATGATGTTCAATCAAGATCGATATCATTCTAGTATATATGTGTACTTTAGACGTTTGGGCATCCGGGAATGACAAAGTTCACCCAGAGTCTGCAGGTTTTATTGTCGTAATTTATGACTACAATCGGGAAGACAAAATTTAAGACACACAAACAAAATTGCTTGTGAAAACTATTTACAAAAGTGTTCCAGAGATATCCACTCAATGAATGTTGATGTTAACATTGTCATCTTTTTCCAATCCAACATTTTTTCATTTTTTCTGATTTTTTCAAAATCCCCCCCCCCAATTTTTTCAAATTTTATTTTCAAAAGTAGCGGCCAACAGTACCTAGTAGCGGTCAACAGTACTTAGTAGCTATCAACAGTTCATATTTTTCACTTTTAATGAGTTAGTATTTCAGCTGAAGTACTAACAATTTCAATAAATTAATTAGATATTTCAATTCATTATGTGGTTGTACCTAAAACACAACAAAACCCCTGACATAAATCAATCAGATCTTATAATGTACAAATGGTGACTGCCATTGAGGGAAATAGTGCAAAGTATTTTTCCCGTGAGAATATCCTGTCCACTAACATGTTTCCGAGGCTGTAGACCGAGGGAACATGTCAGTGGACAGGATATTCCCGATGGAATTTTTTTACACTATTTCCCGAAAATATGGCAGTCACTATTTGTTTTATTATATACCCCATGGCCCATATGTACTCTGTAAACAATAACAAACTGAGAAGTATTTGAATTTCAACACTCAATGCTTGCAGATTCTTATTAGCATTAAAAGGCAATATGTGCAATTCAATTTCTACAATTCCAGCTAGCAGGGAAGATAAAATGTACTAATGACTGGTCACATGACCTAACCGGTGATTAGTACATTTCATCTTCCCTGTTAGCAGGGATTAATGACTTTACAGGGATTAAGTACATCTATTTCATATCATGTGACCATGAATAAGCCAACGAGCATCTATAATACACATGGGGTGTATAATAAGCCAATCTAGGTACTTATTTTTAAGCTAAAGGATTTCTAATGAAAAATAGAAAAATTATGAAATTTAGATCTTCTCTGGTGCATATGAAGCATATATGAGAGCCATGCATGAAAACCACGATTTCCAAAACATATTTTTCTGAACCCCTCCCATCGCCTCTATTCGGACGGGCCTGACATGTACATTGTTCAAATTTCAGATCACTGGATGCCTGCTGACCTACAACTAATCGCTTCCTATTATCCTCCTCATGTCCTCAAGTCTGACGTCATCCAGTGCAGCTTGCTACAAAAGTAATAAAAAACAGCTGCCACATCTGCAGCCATTTTATGGATTATTTTTTATGGACTTGTGGATTATGACATAAGCGGCACGTAAGATTCTAATTTCTATTAATGTTTCTCTCAACACGCTGTAATGAGATTTGTCGGTGATAAGCCTTAAATGCGAATAATCAACAATTCATTTCTATATAAAAAATTAATGTTTTATTCATATCATTATCAGGATCTAATCTATCCAATTATGATGGCATGTACAGCTAGGAAACAATAACTTAATTACATTTTCGCAATTATTGGTGCTTTATAAGTATCTAATGTGGCTGGATTTTTATTGTCGAGAAATTCTGATGAGCATGGTAAAGACCAGAGGAAAGTTTGAGGAAATAGGCTGTGTTGCTTGAAAAGGGAAATGACTTACAGATAGAATTATTGATTAAATTGACTAGATTTATGATTTAATTAATATTACTGAGAAACATCTTCCAAAAATTAACTTATTTTATGAACAGAAATAGCCAGTGGACTTGAAAATATTTCTAAGGTTTAACCGAAGGAAACATGCATCTTTGGGAGTTTCAATCGTTTGTAATAAGTGTGTACATCTTCTTGGTGGTTCCACCTATTATCCTAAGTGTAGGAATTGTCGGCAATGCAATGGCGGCGGCAGTATTACTGCAAAAGTCGATGCGCTCTTCAACATCCAGCATGTACTTGATCGCACTTGCCTTTGTGGACACAACGGTCCTCTTAACAGGATTAGTTCGTGAATGGATAAAATATGGAATCTTTGAGTATCGTGAGCATTTCGGCTACTGGACGTTGAAACCTTCTGATGTCAGAGCATATACGGATGCTGGCTGTAAGTTTCACATGTTCATACTCTATACGACTATCCATATATCTGCATGGCTGCTCGTATGCCTTACGGTGGAGAGGGTCATCGCTGTTTTCATCCCCCACAAGGTAAAACTAATTTGCACTCATAAAGTTACCCTAGCCGCCATTGGTATCATCTTTATAGTTTGCATCGCTCTGAATTCACACTTCTTCGTCACAGTGAAGCTGGATACGGATATCTACTCCGGTGTCCTTTGGTGTGGTGTAAACGGTGACATGAACAGCGCGAATGCCAGATGGTATAAAACTTATCATATCATCGATGCAGTTGTCGCATCGTATGCTCCTTTTGTGATTATGCTATCGGCGAATCTACTGATAATAGGCAAGTTGAGGTTCAGCAAGTGCAAACGTGGCAAAATGGTCAACAATACTTCATCGAATGACTCGAAACTTAACACCATGACAACGATTCTTCTCACAATTAATTTTGTTTTCGTCGTTACCACCTCCCCAATAGTCGTACTGAAGAAGTACTATAGTGTATGGTTCGATGTTAACACGGATGAGGGAGAAGCGGATAATGAACTGGCGTTTGCTATCTGCAACATGCTTTTCTATCTGAACAGTGCGCTAAATTTCTTTTTATATTGTATCTCTGGACCAAGGTTTAGAGGAGAGTTTATGGTCCTCATGAGACGTTTGACATCGTGTAGAAACTGAACCCCATTGAACTACAGAGCCAGACACGTTGACGGTAGTCATATAAAATATGGTCTCCAAGAAAGCTCCCGCAAGTCAGTTTTGGACAAAACAATTTTTAAGAACTATTTTACATATGCACAATTTTATTCAAACAAAGAATGTGAACTCATCCACCAAGCGTCAACCATATTGGTCTAAGCTGTATGTCATGACAATTTACTTATTAACCTGTCATTGTCCGCATTCATTGATGGTTCTGATACCGATGCTAAGTCCGACGTTACGGGATAGTTTCGGGCAACCGCCTCATAATATGTGTATAGACGTTTCTCTCTTGGAAGACAAGATGGATTTCATGTCACTTAATAATAATGATTAAAGGCCTCATATAAAGTCTAAACATTTTGGCGTATCGTGTAGTCTTACCGAATGTTATTAAAAATAATTTGTGTTACTTCGCTAAAATATTATATGGCCATTTATTTCACTATAAAATGTTAAAATATTTGAAACTTTTTTTAAAAATTCAAAGGTGGCTTTTCGGGGACCTTTGTTCAAAAAGCCGTGACTTTTTTTAAAAGTCACACCTATCTTTTAATAAGCGATACTTCAAACCAACGCGCAGCATTCATCCTCACGTTTTTTTGAAAAATATGAAAATCGGTTGATAAATAAGCGACAAATGACCTCTGAACTCTGAAATGAACTTCCATGCATGAAAGTGGTTCAGGGAAAAATGTATTTCATAATTTTAGTTCTTATATTAGAAACCAATGGTAGAGAAATGCTTAAAACATAATATATTCTTCATTTACAACCTACCTAGACAATCACTTTGGTTTATTTTTGAAGATGAACGTAATTAGAAAAGACTAACAAAGAAATTTTTATTTGATTTTTTTTTCAAAAAACGTTTGCCACATCAGTGATATTATTAAGTCTTATGTTCATTTTTGCAATACTGTTAATGTGTTTTCACTGTATAGCGGAATATTTGATGATTAAAGCATTTTTTAATTTGTATTCAGCAGTAATATTACATATATTTAACACATCGATTTTTATTTGAAAAAATGGCAGGAAATTCGAATGTTTAAGAAATCAAACCCTGATAACTCTTTTTTGAAAGAATAACTTTTTTCTAAAAAAAAACTGTAAAACAATTTCTAAAGTTACGAAAAATAATAGATGAATGATGAAATCATATATGGGGCCTTTAAAGATACTCGTGCAAGCATACACAGAGAAGAGTGACTGAACATACGGATATTGTACTTTGTATATGTGTATTTGCCGACTTTCAAACATTTCTGCCGTTTTTTGAGGGAGGACTAATACAAGTAGGCCTATTTATTGAATATATATGGAAATAGAAACTTATTCTTAATGTAAAAATGAGAAAGTGAATGTCCTCTCTTTAGACAATAAGTTGGATGGTTTGAAAGTGTGGAAATATGCCTCAGATAAATAATATTGATATGTTTGTAATCCTGATAACCTGACTTTGAAGAAAACTTGTGATTTATTTGATAAAATAAATGTTGTATTTATTTATTCAGAATATAGACACATGATCAAAGATGTGATTATCTAGAATCATTTCAATACCATACCCGAGGCCCCATCATACCTGTCACAAAAACAAGATCATATTGCATTCTATTTCTAGAATCAATTATATCACCCCATGCAGACAGATCGCCTAGAATTACATTCGTATGACGCGAGACTCGACATTCAACGGGAATCTAGAAACATTTGTCACCAATGAAGCAAATTATTTTTACTGCTTAATCAATTTTGAATGACAGTCACATTAAGTTATACAAGTATGAGAATAGCATGACGTTCTGATGTTTCAAGGGAACTCGTTTGAAAAAGATGGCGGTAATTGAAATTACGATGTAAAGATAAAACCGCAACGACATTTTTGTAAATTTCTTTAAAAAACTAAAAAACATACGTCACTCGTCACATATCGACTATTTTAAAACAGAAAAGTATGTATAAATAGTAAGGCCTGCAGGTCCGATTCCACTTGGTAGAATTAACATTGGTCTCGCATATGTCATACAAATAATATTTGAAACACTGAACCTAGTTTTTCGATGAAATCAAACAAATATTTCGTTGCAGTTTTATCTTTACATCGTAATTTCAATCACTGCCATCACTTTTCAAACGACTTACCTTTAAATATAAAGACGTCATGCTCACACCTGAATAGCCGGACAAGGGTAAAGTCAGATACCGTTGTCACAAATAGCGGACATAGCCGCCACTTCAACTCTTCAATTACTTGGTCCTCATTTCATGGGACTTTATCGTCACTAATTCTGTGCATGTATTAAGCTCTTGTGATGATGTATCATATGAAATCCCAATTTCGATCAAATTGGGTCGTGAATTGCCACAATATAGCGTCTTCGATATCGTCAATGACAACGGAATCTGAATTTGAAATAAGCGGCATATGGTAATACAGTGTCCGTTGTCCCGTATCCCGTCTTATTTTGATCGGCTAAATTGAAGACTTTATTTCGATGGTAGAGCATTATTAACTGTACAATGAATTTAAGACACTTTGATTGATTGATTGTTGTTCCAAAGGAATTTAGTATAGGTGCTCTATTAAACATACAGTTCATGAAAATCTAATTGAAGCGACGGTTGTCCGCCATTTGTGACAACGGTATCTGACTTTAACGTTGTCAGGCTATTCCGGTGTGATGCTATTCTCATACCTTAATGTGACTGTCATTCACCATTCATTAAGCAGTAAAAAATAATTTGCTTTATGGATGACAAAATGTTTCTTGTTTCCTGGTGAATGTCGAGTCTCGCATCATACGAACGAAATGTTAGGCTATCTGTCTGCAAGGGGTGTATATTGGATGTAAAAGCAGTCGCGCAGCAGCCGTAGTACACGTATAAAAACCTCTTTGGTTATATCACGGAGCGGTAGGCAAACTGCGCGCCTACTATGCACGCAGTTTGGAACACTGACAAACTGCGCGCCTATTCACAAAATGACAGACAGGGAGGACACGACTCCCAAGAGGATGGAAATTACTGGAAATACAAGGCTAGTTTTGGTTTTCAGACAGTACCAAGATGTGGAGACTAACTTAGTTTATACGTAGCACTCGATTTTTTCCCGATGCATATCTAGTTATCTCAAAATAAGGTTCCGAAGGAGCTTTCGTGTTAAAATTATACAGTGTTGCGTCATATAATGTCTGGTTTTCGCAGTTTGACGTTTATTCCAGCCCTTGTGTTTGCATATTCTGAAAGATATAGGATTGCTGCACATGGTTTAAGTAATATAGTTTGTTTGTTAAACAGTGACAAGCCATTAACGTGATTTTATTTTTTTCGTTGTCAAACTGCGTGCATACTTTCACGTGGATTTCACAAACTGCGTGCCTAATATTTACAAACTGCGCGCCTATATTTACAAACTGCGCGCCTAATTTGCTGTGTGCAAGTTTGTTGTGTATTTTCAGAAAATGTAAACGCCACTCACTAAACCTGTCCCTATATAAAAAGAAACCAAAGTCTGACCCTAACAAAAATGTAGATAACAACGGCGCATCTTCAAAAACCATGACACCCCCTTCAGAATTAAACAAGATGTTATTTTAAAACGCACCAATGAAGAAAAGGAAACCAATCAAGAAACCAAAGAGGCGATTATTTAAAGGTACCAGTGACTCATTTGAAAAAACATTAAAAGACTGTGAAAACCTCTTGCCCGATGTCCTCTCAAACCTTAAAAGAAATAGTACACTGTGTCAACCCTTTCTCAATTTCTTTGGATTTATCAGGCTCGTATACTATACATGTACTGCAGTCGGGACATTCAAGTATTACTTCCTTTGGCATATGCTATAAAATAGACTCGGAACTATTGTATCCCCAAAAATTCAAAGGTTTAAGTGAAAAAGTTTTGAATTTCTGAATTTTTGCTCGTCATGCATGCATGGTCACTTATTTATGGTAACATAGGTAATAAGTTTCAAGTCGAAAGAGTGAGATTGTTGTAAATATCTTTTTCTTACTTATTTTGCTAAAACTGTGAATTTTTATAGCATTTTATAATGAGGAATTCATTGAATTCTAAGAAATGGCATTTTGGACTGCATCAATCAAAAATATGAATAAAAAAGGATTCAATATATATTTACACAATTTTTATGAACAAATTGTATTTATGTTGCACCATGCATCATGCACCATGTTAGTTTGAAATAAAGTAGTAAAATAAGCACTTCGGCACTTCGATGGAGACTAGGCGGGGGCCACCTGGGTGTCTTTTAGTAGGACCCCAATAGAACAAAACCATTTTCATGAGATTTTTGAACTCAACTCTATATGATGAAGTCGAATTATTGCATCAATTTTTTTATTAAATCATATAGACAAGAACAAAATAAAATATAAATATGTACATTTCCACTGGTTGTCAACCATCAACCCAATTTTAGTTTTTGTCCACCTTTTCAACTTACTTACGTACTCCCATGAAATCACATAGGCCTGCATTCCCGGGCCTGCATTACTGAGAAGTCATCGATAATATGCACGCAGTTTGGAAGAGTAGGCACGCAGTTTGTGATTTCTGGCTAAAATAGGCGCGCAGTTTGTGTTTTATTACTTCTTTCTGTCATGTTTATCTATTTTAATAAGAAATATTTTGTATTGTACGGGAAAACTGGGTTGAGATGTACCTGTGAATCAAAACCCAAGTGTTTTATATTTCTGTGAAACGTGCGATATCAACTTATGTATTGGTGATCGAAAAATCGATGTCAATTTTTTGTATTAATCTGCTTATATTTTTAAACCTACGTTCATCTGGACATGCATTTCGCTATCACGTGGTTGAATCATATAATCGCCACCGAATGGACGTGTTGAACTATAAAACAATTCAGAATAAATGTCTTAAAATGACGTTTGAAAACACAGACTCCAACTTTTATGATGCAATGTTGATAGGCGCGCAGTTTGTCAGTCTTTCAAACTGCGTGCATAGTAGGCAAGCAGTTTGGCTACCGCACCGTGTATATTGACGTCGATATTTTTGTGATAGGGACATGTGGCGCTTTTTAGTCTTTATAACAGGTAATCATTGAGGAAATGAAAAAGCTTTGCACAGCATATAATTCAGTGAACAAAAGATAAAACCCCCTCTTCTTTCGATGTCAGCGGTAACTTTCTCGCGATTTCACGGGGCCTGAATATGGCAAATGGGAATAAAGATTAGTCAACTAGTTATATATTTTGCCTAACCTTGAGTGCCAAGGAAACCAGAATGATCCAGCTATAGAAAAGATCTAAAACAAATTGTGGATGAATTCTATAAGTAAATTCAGAAAACAAACACACGGATGTTCATGCACTGAAAGAGTACCTGACCACTAAGTGGAAATTCCGCCCTGTCGAAGACCTGGAACAAGAAGAGTTCAATTCTTCCTAGTGTCCGTCTAGTTTTTACATCGATACCCAGCAAAAACATAGAAGCGTACTAACCCAGTACTTTGAGATCTTATTTAGGACGTTTTGTGAAATAATTGAAGAGTAAGAATTATGCTACAGGCATGCTTGCTAGCATTGTGTTTGACAAATTCGCCGCAGTCTCACCTCATGGCAAAATGACCCAAGTCTAAAGGTA